TGTGTGTGTGTGTGAGAGAGAGAGAGAGAGAGAGAGAGAGAGATACTACCATCTGCACCTATCTTAAAAAGCATTTTGAGAATTAAAATTTAATGCTATAAGAAAAAGAAGGCAACATTATTATCAGCTAACTGGTGAAATCAAACTACCACCCAAAGTTATTTTTAAAATGCTTGTCATTTATGCTGTGAGAACTGTATTTTGTGTACAGACCTCTGATAACTCCTAAATAGGAACTTTATATGATAGCTTATGAAAATAAGACTGCACGTTTGTGAGGCTATATTATATGGTATTACCTTACTTGATTGTTGCAGCTATGGTATTTAGAGCAAAAATGATTATCATGTCCACTTCATATATATAAAAAGCCCCACAACTCAGAGGTATTAAGTGCCTTAGTCTAAGAAGGTGGAGGAGCAAGGAGAGGACCTGATACTTCTGACTTTTAATGCAACGTCCTTTCCAAAAAAATGTTGCTGCACCTTGCCAGCTTACAGAAAGGAAATGAGGCTTTTAAAGTACTATATAAAACAGGATTGTCTAAAAATACTGCTTGCTTTCTTGAATATCTGAAAGAACTTCAATAAGTCTTAATCATAAGAACAAAATGAAAGCATTTTAAATGCCCAGATATTGTTTTATAAACTCACTGCCTCTTAAACAGTGTCATTCCGCAGCAAGCTGCCATTTTCTTTCCCTAGCAACTGCAGTTCACAGATTGTATCTCCAAAGGGTGTTCATTGTTGCCCCTTCTCTCTTTTAGCAACAGATCAACTCCTAGCAACCATGATCGGATACAGCGTCTACGGCAAGAATTTCAGCAAGCGAAGCAGGATGAAGATGTAGAAGATCGGCGACGTACCTATAGCTTTGAACAACCCTGGGTGAGTATTTGGTTCTGCAGCATAGCGAGGAGTCTGACAACTTGCCCACAGTAAGAGCCACTAAGCTCTGACCTTCGTCCTTTTTGAAACAAGACAAGATGGAGCCAAATTCCTTTGACCTTTAACATATTGACCTTTTCCTCATTTCCATCTGGGTTTCATCATTGCTAATTTCATTTTATATCTTGTTGCACCATCTGTCCATTGCATAATCAGTTTCATTTGCCTTATGACAAGACATAGCAAAAGGATTCTTGCTCTCAACGATGCACTTTTTTTTTAACTTTAGTAAATATTTTTCTATATACATTTTTCTCAGAATCAGAGCCAGAATAAATTAGTTGAACATATGTCTATAGTGTCTACTATACACGAAGTATAATATTTAGCAATTCTTGGTTCTTTATTCTCCCTCATCCCCTTTGTGTGTTCATTGAATCCCTCTTGTTTATCTGCCCATGTCCCTGTTCTAGTGTATCCTGCTCACAGCCATCACAGTGATTTTTCTAAAGCAATATTTGGAATGGCTTCAAGGCCCACGAGAGAGAGGCGCTAATCCCCCTAAGTCCAGTCCCAGACCTGTGCTCAGTTCTTACCTTTTCCCTTGGAGATGATGACACTTCTGGGAATGGGAGGCATTGGGGGAGATTTTGGCGGCGGGGTGGGGGGGGTTCAAGATGACAGGAATTTTGAAGAATCTCTTTGGAAACTTGAGAAAGAGTCAGTTAGAGATGAACATACAACTGCTTGAGGTAGGAAGTTCTATCTGAGAGTATTTAGTAAGTCTAGTCAACATGGGACTGTGACCATAGCCAGCAATGCTTAAAGGACTGGGAATAGAAAAATAATTTTTTGATTAATTTGGTGGTGGGGATTGGCAAGACAGACATGACAGAAAGTCAGGGAAGGCACACTGAAGGCATGGGGAAGATGCTGGTGGAGCATTGCCCAGGCTGGGTAGGGTGGTGAGTACAGGTCAAGGAAGCATTACCCCACTTGCCTGGGAGGACACCAGAAGGGATGGCGGTCTAGGGGTTAGAAAGCCTAGGGGGCCGTGGTCAAAACGGTATTCTTGTGGAGTCCAGGATCTTGGAGGTGGGACGGTTCTGGATGATTTGAGGTCAAAGGAATGCCATCCATGTGAGTTCTGAAGTAGACAAGAGCTTAAGGTCCAAAAAGTTAATGAGTTCAGTTCAAAGTGCTGGATTATAATTACACTAGATATTTGGGAAAGGGCATGTACCCAACTGACCCAGAACTGAGAGGTTGCTTATTTTGCAGGGAAGCAGAGATAAAGGTAGAAATGTAGTTGGAGACTTCAAAGCTAGATTGGAAGTTTGAAGAAAAATGGTATCAGGACAGAGTATAGGCCCACTGGCCAGGTAACATGGCTCTTCAGGCCTATATTCTTATGTTGTAAACCAAGAGAGTTAGACTAGATGGTTGAGTGTCAGTTATTAAATCCTTTGTTAAAATGAAAATTTAAGAGGAAGCTGAGTGCATAAGGCAAAGTAGATAACAAGCAAATCTTCTCCAAGTGTGGTCCACAGACCAGTACCTTGAACCATCACTTGGAAGCTTGTTATAATTGCACATTCTTGGGCCCTGCCTCAGACCTACTGGATCTGAACCTCTCTGGGTGGGACCCAGGAATCTAATATTTTAACAAGCCCTGGAGGGGTCATTCTGAAGCCTGTTCAACTTGGAGAAGCACTGCACTACAGCTTAAATCATCTCTGAGGTCCTTTTTTGTTCTAAAATCCAACATCCTCAATATACTCTGTACAAGGCCAGAAACCTATAAACATTTTGATCATGGGGTTTAGTGATCAAACTGGAGTCTGTGGAAGATAATTTTGAGAAAGAAGAAGGAAAAATGGGAGAAGCGGTGCTAGTTTGAAGGGCTTTACCTCAGTTCAAGTGAGGAAGGTGGAGCGAGCCTTAGAGAGGGCAATCGGCAATATGAGACCAACATCCAAGAGTAAAAAGTCCTTGTGAAATCAATCCTAGCCTAACCTTGGGAGATTATAAAACAAGTTCAGCAAATATAATATCTAAGAAAATCTCTAATTGTGTTTCTGCAACAATATTACTATTAATGGTATTGTTTTTCTAAAACATTTATTTTTTAGATGATCAAGTAAATTGAGTCATTCCCAGGTAGCAACATGACAAAATTATGTTAATTTATTTATATTGTTTGGCATAATTGACTCAGTCTCTTCCTACCAGGTTTCCTAAAGCAGGGTTCTTTTTTTTAATTAAGTTTTTAATTTTAATTCCTGTATTAGTCACACAGTGTTATGTTAGTTTCAGGTGTACAATATAGTGATTCAACACTTTCATGTAACACCAGGTTCTCATCACAACAGGTGCACTCCTTCATCCCCAGCACCTATTTCCCCCATCCCCCACCCACCTCCCCTCTGATAACCATTAGTTTGTTCTCTATAGTTAAGAGTCTGTTTCTTGGTTTGTCTCTCTCTCTTTTTTCCTTTGCTCATTTGTTTTGTTTCTTAAATTCCACATATGAGTGAAATCATATGATATTTATCTTTCTTTGACTTATTTCACTTAGCATTATACTCTCTAGCTCCATTCATGTCATTGCAAATGGCAAGATTTCATGCCTTTTTATGGCTGAGTAATATTCCATTGTGTGTGTCCCACCTCTTCTTTATCCATTCATCTATCAACAGAAAGTTTGGGCTGCTTCCATAATTTGGCTCTTGTAAACAATGCTGCAATAAACATTGGGGTGCATGTATCCCTTTGAATTAGTGTTTTTGTATTCTTTGGGTGAATATCCACTAATGTGATTACTGGATTGTAAGGTAGTTCTATTTTTAATTTTTTTGAGGAACCTCCATACTGTTTTCCACAGTGGCTATACCAGTTTGCATTCCCACCAACAGTGCAGGAGAGTTCCTTTTTCCCCACATCCTCACCACCACTTGTTTCTCGTATTGTTGATTTTAGCCATTCTGACAGGTGTGACATGATATGTCAGTGTAGTTTTGATTTGCATTTCTCTGACGATAAGTGATGCTGAGCATCTTTTCATGTGTCTGTTGGCCATCTGGATGTCTTCTTTGGAGAAATGGCTGTTCAGGTGTTCTGCCCATTTTTTAATTGGATTATTTGTTTTTGGGGTGTTGAGTTGTATCAGTTCTTTATATATTTTGGATACCAACCCTTTATCGGATATGTCATTTGCGACTATCTTCACCCATTTGGTAGTCTACCTTTTAGTTTTGTTGATTGTTTCCTTTGCTGTGCAAAAGCTTTTTATTTTGATAAGAGTTTTTATATCCCAATACTTTATTTTTGCTTTTATTTCACTTGCCTCAGGAGACAGAACTAGAAATATGTTGCTATGGCCGATGTCAGAGAAATTACTGCCTGTGTTCTCTTATAGGATTTTTATGGTTTCAGGTCTCACATTTATTTCGAGTTTATTTTTGTGTATGGTGAAAGAAAGTGGTCCAGTTTCTTTTTTTTTTTTAAGATTTTATTTATTTATTTGAGAGACAGAGAGAGTGAGCATGAGCAGGGGGAAGGGCAGAGGGACAGGGAAGAAGCAGACTCCCTGCTGAGCAGGGAGCCCGAGGCGGGACTCGATCCCAGGACCCTGAGATCATGACCTGAGGTGAAGGCAAACGCTTAACCGACTGAGCCACCCAGGCGTCCTTCCAGTTTCATTCTTCTGCATGTGGCTGTCTGGTTTAGCCAACACCATTTGTTGAAGAGACAATCTTTTTCCCACTAGGTACTCTTTCTTCTTCAATGAAGATTAACTGACCACGTAACAGTGAATTCATTTTCGGGTTTTCTATTCTGTTATTTGTGTGTCTGTTTTTGTGCCAGTGCCATACTGTCTTGATCTCTCCAGCTTTGTAATATAAGTTGATGTCTGGAATTTTGATACCTTCAGTTTTACTTTTGCTTTTTCAGCGTTGCTCTCTCTATTTGGGCTCTTTTATGGTTCCATACAAATTTTAGGATTGTTTGTTCTAGTTCTGTGAAAAAATGCTGTTGGTATTTTGATAGGGATTGCACTAAATGTGTAGATTGCTTTGGGTAGTATGGACATTTTAGCAATATTTGTTCTTCCAATCCATGAGCATGGAATGTCTTTCCATTTCTTTGTGTCTTCTTTAATTTCTTTCATCAACAGTTTATAGTTTGGAATACAGATCTTTCACCTCTTTGGTTAATTAAGCTTATTCCTGAATATTTCATTGTTTTTGGTGCAATTGTAAATGGGATTGTTCTCTTATTTTCTCTTTTTTGCTGCTTTTTTATTAGTGTATAGAAGTACAACAGATTTCTGTACATTGATTTTGTATCCTTTGACTTTTATTGAATTCATTTATCAGTTCTCATGGTTTTTTGGTGGAGTCTTTTGGGTTTTCTATATATATAGTGTCATGTCACCTGGAAATAGTGGAAGTTTTACTTCTTCCTTACCAACTGGGATGCCTTTTATTTCTTTGTTGTCTGATTGCGGTGGCTAGGACTTCCAGCACTATGCTGAATAAAAGTGGTGAGAGTGGACATCCCTGTCTTGTTCCTGACCTTAGGGGAAGAGCTCTCAGTTTTTCACCATTGAGGATGATGTTCTCTGTGGGTTTTTCATAGATGGCATTTATTATGTTGAGGTATGTTCCCTCTAGGCCTACTTTGTTGAGGGTTTTTATCGTGAATGGATGTTGTACTTTGTCAGATGCTTTTTTTCTGCATCTATCGAAATGATCATATGGTTTCTACCCTTTCTCTTACTGATATATCATGTCAATTGATTTGAAGCAGGATTCTTTTTTGAGGTGTGGTAAACATCCTTAGCGATGTATATTTCACAGAAAGGCTGAAAAAAGGAAAGAGTACAGTGGCCACCTAAAGGAAACAACCAACCCTATATGAAAATGGTTCTCAAACACAGAGTTCTAACCTTGGCAAGAGCCTGCATGAGTTTCTCAGTCCCCATACCACACTGTGAGGAGCAGCGGAATGCCGACTTCCTTCTCTCGGGAATGTGGATTTCAAACCACAAACCAGCATATTTGCAACATTACTGTTTAATTAATTATTTAATTGATCAAATGTATTGAGTGCTTATTACTATGTTCCAGTCAGTGTGTTTGGTGCTGGAGGACAAAGACGGGAAGGAGACTACCCTTACAGTCAAGCCGACCCAAAGGAAAAGAATATTTTGTACAGTTTATGATACAGGTGTGCATGGAGTATTAAGCACAGAGGAACCATGGCCAAATCAGCGTGGGTGGTTAGGAAAGGCTTGAAAGAAGACCTCAGTGTCCGCCTTGGCAGCCCGTGTACTGAAACTGGAACAATACAGAGATCAGCACAGCCCCTGCACAAGGATGTCATGAAAATGCAGGAAGTGTTCCACATTTAAAAAAAGAGAAAGAAAAGAAAGAACACCTCATTGAAGTTAAAATATATTTTAAATACGTAACTTTGAGAAAGAGAAAAACATAGATTTGGGAACTAAGATTGATTGGACTTTTTCTGGTTGGTGACATTGTATCCACGTGCCAAATGTCCAAGTTTGTTTGAGGCTGACTGAGCATTTCCTACTTCGTAGCTGTAAATGTTTCATTGGGAGATGTGGAGATGACTTGATATCCATTTTGGTTCCTTTATAAGGATTTTTTTTTCTTAATGGAGGTGGGGAATATGTTGGCATTCATTTCTATTTATCTACTTAATACAGTCATGTTAGGGAAAATCTTACACATCCAGAAACTCACCTGCTGAAGGTCGTAGGCCAAATTATTGTATATCAAAATGCTGTAGCAGCTTTAGACCGACCACTTGGCTTGTATTATCATTTCCTGTAATGAGTGAGCGGGGAATTATTTGGATGACAAGCTGATTACTGTAGGAATGGAATAATTTCCTAAATTGTGGGTCAGAAGTCAGACCTTTTCTTTTCTTTTCTTTTCTTTTTTAATTTCCAAACAATTGGGATCTTGCTGTGTACTCTCCTTTCTACTGATCATATAAATGAGCTTAAAGTGACTGTAATTCTCCTTAGTGTATTAATTTTCATGCTAGTTTTCATTGTTGCCTTAATAAGAGCTGCTCAGTTGTTCAAAATGTAGCTGGGTCTATGGTTTTTATTATGTGTTTTACAAAATGAGCTTTGAGTGTCTTAGAGTCTTTTTTTTTTTCTTTTCCTGTATGTACTCTGACCTTGAAAGGTCACTGTGTTTGGAAAGGATGAGAATGTGATCTCACCCATTGGAACAGTTTGTAATCATTTTAGTTTTAAGGAACCACAAACTCATCTTCAAACTGTGTGTCCATCTTAGTCCATAGTAGTTGAAATTGCCATGCTTGCTGGAAATGCCACACACAAAGTGCAACCAGATGTATCATATAGAAAAAGATCCAAGCCAATTACTTTACACACAGAGAGCGATGCTGCAGAAAATTCATCCAAGTAGCCCTTTTCAATTCATCCATTTTCAAAATGTTCTCCCTAAACTCTAGTAGTGTGGAATGCACCTGTTCCTGGGCTTTTGTTCAAAATAATGTTTGGGCCTGAGGGAGCTGCTTTGTGGCACAAAAGGTCTTTAGATGAGCAGAGGCCCAGAAAATTTCCTTAGCTCCATAATTAAAGTGAATTCTCTCCCTAGTTGGGTGAGAGAAGAAGAAGGAGAAAAAGCAACTTCTTCCCCCGTGTCGTGCCAGGTGCAACATAAATAAAGCAGCAAGTTGTTTTAAATCTTTCTTAAGATAATGGAACAATAGCTGAGGTTAGGGTTATTATCACAGAGCTCAGATATGGACAGGACTTAGTGTTGCTTTTAAAAGAATTAAATTGCAGGCTGCAGACATAAGTACAGTATGCTGTTAACTTTGCAGATACCTGAGTGTTGCCCACAAGGAGACTTGCTGGCTGAGGCGGTTGATAGATGGGATAATGGAGCCTTTAATAGCTATATTGCTAAATCCTTTCCATCCTGGGTTGGTAGTGACTGAAAGTAGGTTAGTCCTTCAGATGGAAAATTGATCCTCTGCGATGTGAATACCCTCTTCTCCCCCAAGCTTTCTTCCTAGCTGTCTTTAAACAACAACAGCAACAAAAATCTGTCCTTTTCTCCATTTTTCTGTCTTGGACTTTTTAATGGCTCCTCTTCCCTTTTTAATTAGCAAGCCAGTCTGCAGTACACAGCCACCCCGCACCCCGAGAATGCCTTCCCTGTACCTGGGGAATTTGAGCAAACAATGCTTTTGTTTTTTGTTTTCATCTTTCTTAAGACTTCAAGGGTATCTGCTGTGATTATAATGGGGTCCCATGCCTTGACTCGACAAATGCCTTCTCGGTTGACAGCCTTGCAGTTCACATTGGGTGGAAAACACCTCCCTTGGAAGTCAACCTGGAGAAAGTCATTCCCTGCAGCAAAGGGGGGCCCTTTACTCATGGCCAAAGCCTCGTGCTGCTGCAAAGTAGACCCCTTTCTTGTAGCCCCAGGACCCGTCCCCCCAGCCAAGGGCTCCACAACCACTGGGCCATGCCACCCACAGAGGCATCAGGTAGTAGAAATGAGTGAAGCTGCTTTGGGTCATCATCAGCACCTGACAGTAGAGAACCGGCTTGTTTTGTAGAGCCAGCCTCTATTTTCAACCTACCTGCTGTTTAAGGATGGGGGGGGAAATAGGAGATAGAGACAAACGGTGTGTAAAAAATCGAACATGTATTTATAAAAACTTTATGAGGGAAACTGGTATGCTCTGCAGATTTTTCAAGCATTACTCACATCATTAGTAGCAATTAAGTTTTCAACATTCAGAACCCACAAGAGTTCAATCAATAGTTGTGAAAGTATCTTGGGTGATCGGGTAGAGGGGGAGGGCTGTGAAGTCAGGATCAATAGATAAAAGTTAACTTTGTCTTGATTAAAAGTTTCCAGTGGGTCTGCTACAGAAAATAATTACCAAGATTAGCAGTTGCCCCATGCACTCGTATATTAAGCTCTAGAAGTCTTACAATATTGCCTAGTTCTAACTGGCACTGAAACGTTGTATGGTGTGTATTTATTTTTCTTTCTTTAGTCTATTAACTGTTAACAGTTTTGGTTTTGTGTTTTTATTTTTTGTATTGTTTAGTTTTACTTTGGAAGAAGAAGAATGATTTTGTTAAACTGAGAAAAATGCTTAATGACTTAATGTAATAAAAACTGTATAGAAGATATTTTTAATATTTTGTTTTACACTAGTAAATGATAGCCAAATTGTGTAGCTTTTCCAAACTTTATATAGTTGTTGGTACAGTCTAAATAGTATCTCTCTATAATCACGATAAAGACCAGTACTTTGCAACTCACTTCCGAAAGTAACATCGTTTTCACTGTGGTTTTAAACATGAGCCCTGAAGAGATTCACACATCCTGGCCCTCCAGTGTACTGTGTAATAGATAACCACGTATTTATTTCTGTTTACAATCTCTACATTATTATGGCCTTGGCAACCTTGGCTATTTTTTTACTTGGAAGGTCATTGCTTGTCACAAATTTCCTCACAAACAAGGCCAGGTTATTTGTAATTTGCACTCTTAAAAACAGGGCTATTGCCTTATTGTCTGGCGAATCTCCAGAATTATTAGGACTATAATTTACTGGTGTGTTTCCCTGTATACATGTTACTTTGTTGTTGTGGTTGTTGATACTATTTTATTTGAAAACCTGCCTTCTCTCTGGGGTTACATAATTTGTAACCTTTCTTCATTTCCTCATTTTTGTGATTTTGGACTCCAGATACATTATTCTATATCTGCCAGAGAGATGGAAACCACAGTATTTAAAAGTCAGGATTGTCCATTCTAATACTGTTCCTGCAATTTACATTTTTATGCAATTGTCGTTGAAATCATGAATCAGGTTATTTTTGATTCGGGCCATGTACGAAACTTGCCGGGATGAACTTACCTAGTTTTTGCTCTGGGCTGCTCATGTATACAATCTTCCTGGAAATCTGAGGCTCATTAACGTTTCATCTTAAAGACAAGGGTGATTCTTTTTAAGAACCTACCCGTTTGCATGCTTTGAAAAGAGAAATGGAATAAATATTCATGGTAAGGCTAAGGTTTATATTTCATCGTAGCGGGCAGACGAGTATGACATCTATCAGTTTGCTGATACCAAACTCATTCACTCACGTTGAGTTTTCCGATCCCGTGTGATGATAATTTTATTATTGGAGTTCATCAAGATCCAACTAGATGCTCGCCACCGATAAGGTTTGAGATGAACAGTGTCAGAAACCAAACACTGGAGGAAACAAAGGCCCTTCAACAACTTCTTCTTCTTCTTTTCTTCTTCTTTTCTTCTTCTTCTTCTTCTTCTTCTTCTTCTTCTTCTTCTTCTTCTTTTCTTCTTCTTTTCTTCTTCTTTTCTTCTCCTTCTTCTTTTCTTCTTCTTCTTCTTCCTCTTTTTTCCTGTCAGAATCAGATTTTCAGGCCTCTGGGAGAAACAACTTAAAAATACACCTGAAATTTCTACAAGACCTTGCATTTTCTTTTCACATCTCCACAAGCAGTGTGTCACAGAACAGCATGAGCTTAAAAAGCTGGTTACTAAATCCTACTGCAGCATGCCAGATCTTTCAAGACTGCTTGACACATGTATATAGCTTATACTGAGTGAAAAGGAAAGGGAAACGTGGTTCTTTTTTGAGGGTGTAAAGGCAATTGTGTAGTATTTTCTTGCTTTGCTTTCCCTCTGTCCCGTGGCTTCTCTCAAGCTTCCCATGCCTCACCATGAACAATAGAACCGCTCAGTTCTCATTTTAGCCAGCCTCATCGAGTGTAATGGAAGAAAATGTCTGTCTTCTTTAATGGAGTAGATGAACAATTGCTTGATGCTTTGTTTGCATAAGCAGAACTCACTCAGCAAAGTGTTTTCCTTGCTGAAGGCACTGCTGATGTGTTATTTGAACGGTGTTGTGGAGCGGGTCTCAGAACACACATTTGTTCCAGTGAGTGTGGTTATAAACATCCACTAGTAGAGACTGGGGTATTGTAAAGCCTAATCTCTTCACACGTTATTTTTGTATCGGGATATTTTTAATATGCTCACTGACCATGCCCATATGCTTTGAAATTTTTGTCCCATATATTGCCTTATTATTGCTTACCAACAAATAAGATAACACTGGCCAGGCAGATAGAGAACAATAGATGATGCTTTCTGTTCACACAAAAGCCAACCACAGGAGCTACTCTTTAAGTTGCAAGCCCACGTGTTATCTTACAACTGTCTCCGAATGAATGCGAAGACTCTGTTATTTTAGGAAATTAGTATCGAGTCAAAGTCTGCCATTGGTTTTCAACTCTCAAAGAAAATCGATAGCTTGTTTTTAAGAGACATTTTTCACGCAGAATATGCCTATTGCACAATGTTGCGTAACACAAAAGGGAACAGAGGTCTGCAAGTGCCAAAATGGATTACTTAGTGAATGCTACTGATACTAAGATAAACCATTGTTGAGTGTTTTGTAAAGTTAGAGGCATCATTGTCTATTTTGAGCAGAGCTACTTTCATTTTAAAAGGGCAGATCTAGAAGGTAAGGTAAGCTAAAAACTGTCAGTGAGAAGCTGGAGCATCCACAGGGGCTTGATCCGCACAGCACACTATACACAGCCAATATCTGATTTTGCTGAGAGGCAGCAATCAGCAGATGACCTGCTGACCAGTGTATTTAGCCAGGAGTGAAAGTTTCTCCATAGAATATAATTAACCCAGGTTAAAAAAAATTCCATTTCCTAATAAGTAAGGCAGCATGTATTATCTCATAACCCATTCAAGTAGCTATTAGCTTTTGAGTTTGTTCTTTTGATGAGTGTTTCCGTTCCCATGTGGCCACCATCTGTGGGTTGGAGGAGACCTGTCCGTGGCTAGCAGTGTCTGGTTTCAACCAATCTCGGTTCAAAATTTAACTGTCATCCTTTAATAAAAGGGGAATCAGCTATATGGTAGTCTATTGCTAGACTAAAATATGTAACTGCTGAAAAAATTCACCAGCACAGCCAACTTTTAAGGACTTTCCCACTTTTGTGAATTATTGTAGCAAATCTTGATTGACTTACTTATTTTTGGCCTTGGCTTCTTCTGGTCTTCTGAGCAGCCTCGCTCCCCTATGTTTGCTGGAGAGACAAGGGATAAAAAGTGGTATCTAATGTTGGAATTTGCCAAACCTCATTAGGAAGACGAGAAAAGTTGACCTCTCAATTTCAGACCGTCCTCAAGCCATAATCAAAATTTAAGATGCTTGAGGAGTTGGGGCTCAGAAGAACGAGTGGAGAGATGCCTCTTTGTTCACACTAGAGCACATGGCGGTGGACTTTTGGAAAAAGTCGCAGCCTCTGTAATGTGCTTCGGAGTCGATCCTTAAGCATGGAAATTGGGTCAACCCGGCACGCGCTCTCCATGCTTCCTGTCTTGCTAACCGTTTCGCATTTCCGTCCTTCAGCCAAACTCCAGAGCGGCGGCGCAGAGCGGCCGGCACTCGGTGTCCGTGGAGGTACAGATGCAGCGCCAGCGGCAGGAGGAGCGCGAAGGTTTCCAGCAGGCGCAGCGCCAGTACAGCTCCCTGCCCCGGTACGGAGCCCCGGCTCAGAGCGCGGCCTCCCGCTCCTTTGGCAAACCCCTCCCTGCAACACCGCCCCGGCTTCTCCCGCTCACCCGTTCACCCACTGCAGCCCTTGGGGAAGCCGTCGCCGGCCGGGTGGGGGAGGCATTGCTCAGCCTGCGTGGCCCCCTTACCGTGTGGCAAGACGACTGGAAAGGGAGGCGCTGCAGGAGATGCCAGTACTTTTACCCCAGAGCTCCCCAGCCAAGAGCAAGATGATCGGATGCAGGAGTACTGGGCTGAGGGGGTCACACCTGGGATCCGGTATTCGCTCTGCTACTTCCCTGGGGGAGCCGTGGACCAGACGGTTTCTTCCTCTGAAAAATGGAAAGCTAACTCTTACTTTGCCTGGCTGCTGGGCTAACTAGCCTGTCGGGTACTGTGTAGATGTAGGGCTCTGTGAAAGGGTGGGGGTGAATGCCCCATGGTCTCGGCTCAGGTGGGATCTCTCTTACTCTCCTGCCATCCTTGCTTTTGCTGGGTGCTGGTCCTCAGAGCCCCAGGGATGCCCACCTCATTAGCTGACAAGCTGGAAGGGTCTATCAGCTGGGCTCCCCCCGTGGATTCTCTGCCCGAGGCCTGGAGAGTGCTCAGGTTACTGAGTCCTAATACACTGCAATGATAGCCATTTTTCCATCTAAGTATTTCCTCCATGCACAGTAAAGAATAACAGTATTTAAAAACATTCATCTTCCCAAACTTCCCACGAGGCACTCCTATAATCACAATTATTACAGGCATTTGTTCTATTTCAAAACCAGGTGACAAAAACATTTTGCGTGCGAAAGAAAATACACTTACCGTGTTTGTATCAGGTGGATCGCTTGGAAAGCGAGCAGAGCAGTGTGGGGGGCGGCAAGTGCTTATCGCTGTCAGCCTGACTGACCGACATAAAAGTAGTCTTGATTTGCTTCTAATTTTTATTAATGAGGAGTCCCCTTTAAATGTTAAATAATCACTATAATAACCATGAGGGACTTGGCTTCATTGCTGTAGATCAGACAAGGGAATGAGGATATGAATGAAAATCTGTACCAGGCTGAGTACCGTTATTACAGTCATTGTAATCGTAGTATTACTAGTATTGTAGTATTGTTCATTCAGTTGTTCTTTTTTAATCTATAAAGCTGTATCTCCTTAGAAAACGAAATTATTTTTTCTTTTAAATGGGAGAATTGCTTTTTATTTTAAATGGGAGAATATTTATTTAGCCCACTCTAGGCAAGAGTCTCATTGAAATTTGAGTCTGGACAGGGCCTTGGAAATCATGTTGTCCTACAAGGAAGCAGCTCAGTGAAATTAGGTACCTTCCCCCCAAGGTCTCACAGCCAGTACGTAATTCTGCCAACATTCAAACCCAAACCTGCCCATGCCCTAAACCCTAATTTCATAAGGCTCATTGCTACCAAAGGTTTTGGTTCCCAAGTCTGGAATTCTAACGGGTGTAGGTGTAAAGGTTCTCTCTGTGCTCTACTGCCCTTAGCATTTGGAAGAAGGCCACTGTATGAATCAGCTCAATGCATCAAATGCGAAACAGTTCAAGGATTCTACATAAAGGTTCTTCTGTGTCAAAGCCCTACCCGCCTGCCTGTGTGGCTTGCTTTCCATCAGAAAGATGAGTGCGACCCTGTGGATCAGTTGGCCTGCCTGGTGGTGGTCAGTAGCACATTGCGGTCCCTGGGAATGCCATTGCCTGTGCAGGGGCTGTGATCTGATTTTACTGGCAAGTTGTTTGGCTTCATAAATGTTGTGTTCAAGAGTATAGGAGATGAAGGAGAAGTATCAGAAAGCGTAATGTAAGGGGTGGGGTGAGTTGGGAAATGCACGGGGCTGAGGAAAGGAAGTGGGAGAGATGGTGGCCGAGCGCCTGGAAGGACACACGGTGGAAGAAGAGCCCATCGGGTCCCCGTCCTGGGCAAGAGGACAAAGACGGATGGGGTGCTTCTTCCGACTTTCTCCTGGTCGTGCTCCCAGGTAGCCCACTATTCCAGACTGAGCCTCTGCTCACCTCCTGGACCTCTGAGCTGCCTTCCTTGCTGTCCCTCTCCCTTCTGAAGCACCTGGCAGAAGGATCTGATTCACGGAGAGGCCTGCTGCCGGTACCCCTGCTGGCAGTTAACAAAAGCCCCCTCTGTGTTCACCAAAGCCCCCTTATGACCAGGCATTGTATTCTGTGTCAGTATGAGAAAAGCAGAAATTCCAAAAAGAACAAGTTGCAGTTTCAGGCAAGAGGGCTGGTGGGCCTCTTACAGCCTGTTCTCTTCTGTCAGAGAAGTTTCTCAATGGGAGTGGCTACTGTGAGGAAGATTCAGGAATGTAGAACCTTGCCCACAGCTTGGATCCCTGGAGGGTGGCGCCACTTGACAAAGGCTGTGTGCAGAGATCTGGAGGAAGGTGAAGAAACCAAACAGGAGCTCAGAGGGAGACTGTAACAACCTCCATGGGCTTGAGTCAAACCCACATTTCTGACATGTGAGATTCCTCAAAGACGCTTGACCTCTGCCTTTCAGATGTTGACAATTAGCAGAGTTTCATCTAAACAAGTTGGTGTGGGATTTGATACCAAAAAGACTTCACACACAGCAGAAGTTCTCTTGCAAAGTGGAGCATAAAATAAAACAAATGGTCATTCTTTGTATCAGTAGCACTAGGTAAGGTGGTTTGAATTAGAGGGATGTATACAAGCTGGAGTGGTTTGTAAATTCTAACTGTAATTAACAAAACTCTAGACAGACTTCAAGTTACATTTTGAAATGTCAGTAAGAAACTAGGCAGGTAGTAATAAGACCTGAGTGGACTCACACTTAATTCACAATCAGACGAGGATTTCTTTTTTAATTTTTTTATTCCTAAATTAGTTCTTTTGTTTCCTTTTTTACTTTCTTTTTTAAATCCTTTTAACATTTCTAGATTAGTTTCTTAGGGTTCAAAAGGCAACTCTAAAACTGAGTAGAGGTATGTTCAGTTATAGTCACGGATAGAAAGACTTATTTAAGCTCCTTTATTAAATATGTATATTTTTCTTTTCCTGCTGTCCCTCCATTTCCTCGTCATCTTTCCTTCTCCCGTGGCTTCACATCTGTTGGTGACTGACTTCCCTGCTCCGCACACCTCGCTTCCCTTCTGTCTTCCACACCCGGACACGGTGTCCCCACCAGGCCCATTCGTTATGTCTCTAAGCTGCTTGTCAACATGTCCGCCTTGGTCTTTATACCGTTCATCTTTCTATGTCCTCCTCACCGCCGTGTCACCTCAGTGACTAAATGGCTTTCCTAAGGCATTGGGTCTCTGGTGTAAGCCCTCTAGAGGATGATGGTCTTCAGGCCATATTGAAAGTGGTTGTAATCATTAAGTGTTCGTTATTGCCAAAGCCGGGCATTTGCTTTTTGAGTGGATTCAGAAAACTCTAGTGGGCTCATTCTAGGACCAAACAAGCCTGTGTGTTGGTTGTAAAGGAATTCATTGAAAGGAGATTGATATTTTGTTGCTGTTGTTGTTAATTTGTGGCTTTTGACTAAGCAGTCATGGGACAGTCGAAAGCTTTCTGAGGAAGTGGGGGTGCCTTCACTTAGTGAAGCTTCCTCAGTTATTTGTTGCCTCTTCCTGCTTCCTGACCTCGGCCCAATTCTTCTGACAAAGGACAGAAAGCTAGTATTTTTGCTTATTTTTTTCCCATTGGTCACAAAGATGCCCCCCAAAACCCGGAGGCTCATCTTTGAGGGTAAAGTGACTTGGCCTTCAGACTACACTTCCAACACCCATTAGTCAGCCATTCACTGTGTGCCACACTTTTGTAAGCATTTGACACGTCCTCTTTCCTTGATTTCTCCCCATATCCTATGAGGTTAGGTATCTTGCCTGTTTCACAGATGAGACAGTTTGGGCCCAAACAGCATAATCCTCCTAGGGTCACACAGTTGGTGAGTGGAAGACAGGATTGGAATCTGTCTACTTGGTCCTGAGCCTAGTGTAGAAAACTCTCATTGTCTGCTGTTTTCTCGAGTTTCTCTATGAGCTTCTCATTTCTCGTCCTCTCTTTAATCAAGGGCTCATTGATACCACTGGTTTCCTTACCAAGTTACCAAGGAAGCGTGTGTGTGCGTGTGCATGTATCCATGTGTATGTATTTTCCCCACATATCTTACTTCATACCTCAGGCAGGTCTGCTTTCTTCCCTCTGGCCTGCCTAATGTGAAGAATACTTTAGCTACAAGAAATTCCTTCTCTCACATCATCATCATTTCTATCCCTAACAGACCTTTAGTGACTTCTCAATATATTTAAATAAAAAAGACTCTCTTCCTGAAATGATTCAGAATTCAACTTCTGGTGCGTGAGTGCCATAGAGCGAAGCCTCGGGCTTTATAGAGTCAGGGGTTGGGGGATGGACAGGGTTAGTGGATCTCAGTAGGCTAAGGATGAAAAAGAGTTGACATTTCTGCAGCCCACTTCTGGTTATCTTTAAATTGATAACTAACCCATGAAGGAATTCCACTTTTGTTGCTGGAACATCGGTAACAAGTTCGTTGTTTTAATTAAACTTTCATGATTAATGTCAAATCCCTGGTTTCGTGCTGGCCCTTTCCATCATTCATGTCCCTGGGCAGATTAATTTATGACTTTTTAAGTGAAGATAATCAGTGCTTTAGGCAAATAAACTATTCCATCAAATCTAAGAATTCTTGCCTGGGCTGATGGTACAAATGGTCCGATTCCCATTAAAAGAGAGCCAGATAGAGATACTGGGGACTGCTCAATTAATCATAGTCATATCCAGAGATGATGCTGGACATTAGTTCATTCTCCTTATTGAAAACATCCCCAGCTGCATTTTAGGCCATGTGGAAAATGGGCAGATTTCATCCCGAACCATATTGATGGCACTTCTGAATGTTCAAAAATGCAAATTGCTCCATCCCCGTGGGAGCCCCATGGCTGCCTAGACCTTATTTTCCCTGCACACGAGTCTTCCTGAACATTCCGTCATGTCGTGTGTGTGGATGTGAAAGGCTGAGCAGTACATACTGTCGCCAAATGATTTTCTTATTGATAAATGGAGCAATATATTTTGTTTTATTACTCAATTCTCTCTTCCTCTCTTCCATTTTTAAGGCGAAAAATTAGGACATGTCTTCCTTTCTGGCACAAAATTGTCTTACTTTATCATAGCCAATCTTATTGTAAATTCATAAAAACATCTAGAGACTTGATAGTAAATTAAAGATGTTTCAAAACAATAATGTTTCCTGAAAATGATGTGCAACTTTATTGCAGAAGTGATAAGACTTTGAAATTTCTGTATGACTCTGATCTATTTCCCTATCCTGGGGTGACAGAAAGCAAGTGAAGTAGGTGATCCCAGCCTTCGGTGAGGGTACGGTGTATAGGAAAATAGTGCTTACTCTCCAGCCTTCCAGGTTTTACCAGTGTGATGGGCATGTTTTCTGAAGAGTGTCGGTTGCTGACATACACATCTCAAAAGCCGGGGCTTTAAGGGACTGCCTGTTGCGTGTTTAATCATATAGGGCATCTAGACTTAAATCTTTCATAACTGAACCCATACTGTAATCCATTATAGTCACTTTGTATTAGCTCGAGTCTCGGGCATTATGGAGGCAGCTGTGTAAAATATTTGTTTTGCTTGTTTAGGATTGAATTGTAACGTTCTAAAACAAGCAATTATGGCTGGGGCGGAAGCTGCCAGATCTCTAATACTCCCGTACAGTGTCTTGCCAACATGTCTAAATGGGAGGAGATACGGTTACCCTAAGCAGAACAAGCAGTGCCTACCCAGACACAGTCAGAGGACCCTTCTGCTGGATGCCACCGAATCCCATAGCTCTCTCTCCCGTCTCGCCATTGTTTGTCGAGGACAGTCCTGTTTTAATCCTCCGGGGCCCCGGGTCACTGTGGCTGATGCACAGTTGCAGCACGGCAACTCAACATTGGTTGAGAGATTCAAATGCATATTCCACTTCCCCCACCTCTCACTCCCCACCCCACCCCCAGCCCTCTCCCTCCTTTCTTCCTGTCTCTCTCTCCCCTTCTCCCAACCCTCATACACTAACCTTTGGGATTTGCTTTCTAGGCAAAGCAGGAAAAACGCCAGCTCTGTGTCCCAGGATTCCTGGGAGCAGAACTACCCTCCTGGGGAAGGTTTCCAGAGTGCCAAGGAGAACCCCAGGTACTCCAGCTACCAAGGCTCCAGGAACGGCTACCTGGGCGGGCACGGCTTCAACGCCAGGGTGATGCTGGAGACCCAGGAGCTCCTTCGCCAGGAGCAGAGGAGGAAAGAGCAGCAGATGAAGAAGCAGCCCCCTCCTCCGGAGGGGCTCAACAACTATGACTCATACAAGAAAGTCCAGGACCCCAGTTACACCCCTCCCAAGGGGCCCTTCCGGCAGGATGTGCCCCCCTCCCCTTCTCAGGTCGCCAGGCTGAACAGACTCCAGACTCCTGAGAAAGGGAAGCCCTTCTATTCCTGAGCAGGAGAAGAGTGGAGGCTTCATGTCATGCAATAAAGGACATTTTCTTACGAAGACTTGTATCTTGGGAGTTTTTTTAAAACCTCGATGGTACTATGGAATAATATTTCTGTTGTTGGTATCAGTGCCTTTAAGCAGTATGGGCAAAGAAATGGAAGGCCTTAATGTCTTTGCCACTATGTCTCAAGTGTCTGTTTCATGGAAGGATTTGCCGCCATCCGACAATCATCTGTTCAAGGCATTCATGTGCTCTGCATCTCTCTGAAGTTCCAGGACCGTGGGCCCCCACCCCCCACTGTGAGCTGTCCGTGGCTTTGTGTTACAGCCCCCGACAATCTGTGGTGACAAATTACCTTGAAGTTGAGGGTGATACTGATCCCTCTTTCCCCCCTTTCAGTTTTCTGTAATGTGAGGCAACGTCCCAAACTCTGGTGGATCCAAGTGGGTGACAGACACCAGAAATTGGGGCCTTATGGTACTTCACAGCACAGTCATTGATAGTATTTTGTAATCAGCATGGTTTTCCCTGTTCTCTCTCAGCTCCTCACCACAGGAAAGTTCCTTCATCCTCTGAAAGAAGCTAAGCCATATCCAACACTGTCTGGTTACCATGGGGGTCCTTTTGCAACTGCCTTATAACTCGACATTACCAAGAAAGCGATCATTCTAGTCTGTGTTTATAAATACACTTGTTCAGTCATGTTCCTGACACATGTGTTGAGTCAGCGCGGCTCTGTGTGGGGGGCGTAGGGGAGGGAGTGACTCCTGGTTGGGGAACGATGGAGCCTGCCCACCGGCCCTGTGTGTATCGTGATGTGGGAGGTGGGAGCTAAGAAAAGAATTCTCCCAGGATGAGCTTCTGGCCCACAACATCCCAGTAATTATTTTAATTAGTTTTCGTTTGACAGGTTGGCAGGAAGGGCATAGAGTGGGACAAAGATAAATCAGACAGTCGTTTTGGGATTCTCAAAACTCATCTGCTCTCTACAGTTTTTAAAGTCAGTTGGAAATGACATTTGTCTAGTGCACCCACATGCTGTATCTCTGCCTGGTGATGCCATCCAAGCTCCTAAGTAATTCTGCCCGGAAACAAGACAAATAGGGAAAAGCTGTTCTCTCACACAGCGAACATTCTGGTGTCCCCAGACAGTGGTAACAAAAGCTTGCACTCGTGTCAATATTGTAAGGTGTGTGTGGGTCACGAGGACCTCGGATGCTCCCGTGTTTTCGGCAGTCGGTCTGAACATCGCGTGTAAACCATGGCTGGGTTGCTAAAGTGCCTGCACATCCTGGTGTGAGAAAAGCTTGAGATGAAAGCTCAGCATACCGTGTATTAACAAAAAAGAAAAGAAAACAAACAAAAAAAAAGACATGTACTGATATGCCTATATATATATATATATATATATTTTTTTTTTTTTTACTGGCACATTGTATTTTTGTGTCCACTTGTTTTTAGAAAATATGTCAAGTGTCCACATGTACCTACTGTCTCTCGCATTTCTGTGTAACGGTTCTATGTGCTCCCAATGTGTGGCAATACTCAACGGTGTTACCAATGTCAGCACGGTGACCTTGGATGACAGTGGCTCTTTCTCCCAGCCTTCCCTGAGCTGTGAGAAACAGCTTTCCCTGTACATATGAGACTTTTAATAAAAGGCATATTTCTTCCTGTTCTTTGTGGTGTCTGTAGTATTCCTGTGGAAACTCCTCGCTGGGTGGTTTTTGTTTTTGTTTTTAAGTGTATTAGCAGATGTGATTTTTTTTTCATATTTAGAAAAAGTTGAAAGTTTCCTTCTATCTGTCTGTGTGCAGACGTGGAGGTGGGTGATTGACTGCTTACTTGAACACCTGAGGAGAGAGGGGGAAGGAAAGAAAGAGGGACCTTCTTAATGAGTTTACTGGAAGACCCAGGCTGCCAAAAGGAGCCCAGGGAGTTCAGAATTGAAGGAGCCAATACTCTAGAGCTACATAAGAGAAAAATTATACAGAGAGCCACATCATATTCCCATTATCGTCCTTTGCTCCCTCTGGATCACTTCAGCGAGCCAAGCGTTTTGAGGGAGTCCTAGCCTTGCATACTGTGAGCCCGGAGAAAGGTCCAGATTCTTCTCCACTTCCAAAACCAACCGGTTCTTATTTCCCAAATTACAAAATAAGGCTTTGCTATTTCTTTTAGATTCATTAACATGTGTTTGGTGTTCTGAAGGCATAAAGGGCACTACATCCCTAGGTATGTCTCGTGCACAAATACCCACGTGGCCCCCACCGAGAGGGCAAGCTTTGCACAGACCTGTGGAAAATGCCCTCCGTGTGGAGTGCCTGCATCAGCTGGTTGTCATAGTAGCCTTCAGCCTGTCACTAAATCCTATTCTGTCACCTCAGGATTAGTAACGAGAGGTGTATAGCAAGCCAAGAAAATAACACGGCTTGGGTTCTTACATGCATGCAAGGTGTGGGAAAGTAGCGAAGAGAAGATGGACAGATCTGTTAATTTTCTTACTGACCAGGAGGCCTTTGCAAATGCCAAAACTCGCAGGTTGTTTGTCTCAACTGACAGTGAGAGGTGGAACAAGAGAGGTAATACTGAATGTTGTGGGGACCCAAATCACAAATAAAACTGACAATTTGAGCCACACTGGTAGAAGTAGGACTCGAAATGAGTCAGCACAGAAGTGGGAATATGCTCTACCAGCAGTCTTGTCTACATGACTGCCCTCTGGCTCCAGAGCGCTTTCCAAGGACTCTCTGGGATCGCAGGCAAAGTGTATCCATAGCAAGAGCCAGGCCGGCTGTGGTCAGCAGGCACACTGGACTCTGCTCCCTCCGGGAGGAGCCCCAATCCATGCGAGGGGGCAGGCGACCCCACCATGGCCCACACTCAGGTGAGGATAGAAGTGGAGCGAGTCAGCTGTCCCTTAGAAAAGATGGTCCCACAGTCACATTATCACCACTCTCGGTCCCTCAAGACTCTAGAAAGTCTTACAAATATAAATTATCAAATAATATCATATCAGGTATCTGTATCATATGTAAGTTAAACACCACCACCATCTCTTCTCCCTGTGGCTGGTTAGACCAGAGATAGCTCGGATGTCAAAGCATCCCACAGTTGACAGGGCTGTCCCCCTGATAGGAAGGAAAGTGGGACCTTGGCTTCTCACTTCTCCTGCCAAAGAAGTCAAATATATCAAATCAGAGACCGTAAACCAAATGAATTTTCTGTTTCTTTGTGTGGGGGCAATTGATTTAACTGCAACCCCGTGTTGAGGAAGGGCAGCAAATAAGTAAACAGACCACTTTGCCAGCAGCGAGCTTCGAGATCATGTGCCCACGTGAGACTGAAAACAAGGCCAGTGGTAAGAGACCAGGCTCCTCTGTCCACATCATTGCTCGCGATTTGCCCAAATACGGCCACCGTCTTCCAGACTGCTCCCCTTTCTCCAATAGTTTTTCTCAGAAAGTACATGTTTCCATGTATATCGTAGAACAGGCATACGTAGCATGTGCAAAAGGCACATGTAATTCTATATTTGTCTCTATTAGTCTGGTTAGTTTAATGTGTTTCTTATTTCATCCTGTGAGTCCTTGACACACACACAGGCCTTGCCCTAGTTGAAATCAACCCAAGATGAAGCAGAGAGTACTTTGTTTCTGGTTTCGGTTGCTCGTCATGGAAGAGTAAGTCAGTAAGGTCCAATGAACTACCTCTGAGTATATCCTATCCTGGAGGGCTTCCTTGGGTAACACAGTGTGCCAGGAATTTCAATGTCTATGTAACTCAATTCTTTCTTCTTCTTCTTCTTTTCCTTCTTCTTTTGTCTTTTTTTTTTTTTTTAAACAAAGATTATTCCACCGATGACATGTCAGGTAAGGAGACAATCTTCCTTTCTTACTTCAGAGACAGGATATCATCTTTAATAAGGCAGCTAATAAGAACGTTCACAGGTCAGAAGTGCGAGTGATGGGTGATTTAATGGGAAACCCCCTTCAGCTCTGAGTAATGACAAGATCACAGAGCTGGCTGAGCTAAATTGACTTTTTTTTTAAATGTATGGAGGATGAGGGTTGTAATTCCGAGCATAAGGTTTTCTTTTTCTTTTTTTTTTTAACAAGAAACCGATATTTTACATTAGATCTCATGGGGAAGAGGGAAGAGTGTCCTTGCACTCTGCATAGAAGGGACTTATTTCCCATTAGATGGGTTCTTTTCTCCAAAATTCACCATCTTCCCAGCCAGCACTCGTCTCCCCTGATCTTCCTCTTCCTCCAGCTTCCACATCCGATGCAGCCAAGAACAAAATATATGGGTATCCTTTGTCCATACTTGTTGTTTCTTTGGGTTAAACCCCACAGTACAGAATTTCATTTTTAAAGAATTCCATTATGAGTCCTTTAAGATCAAGCATCCTTTGCTAAAGACAGGTTGTTTTCTTTTTTCCTTTCTGAATTCAGATTTAAGTGATCGGTTTTTGTTTTCTGACTTTGAATTTTTTAAAGCAAATCCTATGCGCACTAGCCCATCACTGCCCAGATAGGTCTGTTCCATACTGGACGCAGGAGAGAAGTGCAAGAAATAAGGGTGAAGCTCTTCCACAGTGAGTCTGAACAATTACTCATCTTTCATCCTCAGTGCTTATTTGCTCACAGGATCAATTAAATGTGTGAAAAACACGTTTTTCTGAATTGCTCAACTAACTGCTGAGTCACCTCACACTGTTGTTGGCTTAGAAACGCCATTTGGAGTTTGTTCCCAGACAGTGCGGATGTCTCACAATGATCCGATGCTCTTCCCCAGGGTGTCATCAGCCTCAGCGGATCAACGGTGGGAAGGGGGTACTGGTGACAGGAGCCCTTCTCCTGCCTCCAAAGGCAAGTTTGCCACTTGCTAGAAGGCTCCTCCTGAAGCTGAAGTTTGGCTTCCACGAGGGATTTTATGATGAAAATATTTTAAGTACAACTTTGAAGATTTTGCCATTAAAAACAGTCTCCATGGCTCAGGGCCCAGCCGACTGCAAACTACAAGGGGGAAAAGTGCCATATATTGCTGGCAAGTGACAGGAAGGAAAACAACACAAATTTCTAAACCAATCGTGACCTTGGCTAATGATCTGGTTTCAGGGTTCAATTCGTATCTGACTTGCTTTTATTCAGCTCTAGCTGTCAGTGGCAACATACTTATCACAGTTGTTTATACTGGGACGAAATGGGTGAAAACATTAACCTAAGAACCCAGAGACGGGTCAGATTAGGGCTCGCCAATGAATGCTGGGTATTTTGGAATAATGCGAACCTTTGAACTTGCCTTGTGAAGCCTCAAAATGAATTTGCCCTACACATGCCCCAACCTTCAACTCCATTTCCAAACTTTCCTTCCTTTTATCTGCTTGGCTTGACTCCCATCTGAGCCCAAGGAGCCTCTGCTCTGGTCCAGGCAACCCAAGCATTTCTACAAAATCTGAAGCTGCAATCAGAGTACATAAGCTGCCCCTGGTTCCCACTCTGTTTGCTTGATTTAGTCATGTAGCCCTTTACAATGTGCACAACATTCTCTTCTTTTCTCTTTGAGCCTCCAAACCCCATGAAGCAGGTTAGAGAAGTGATAGTCCAATTTTACACATGAGGAAATCGAGCCTCCCTGAGTCTGTGCTTACCAGCAGTGAGCAGCTCCATCAGAACACAAAACCCATTGTCCTGACTGCAGCCAGCTTTGCAGTGTAAAGTTTTTATCAAAAGAGAAGCTTTTTGTTTTTAGCAGTGTTAAGTTCCTTACTTGATGATAACTCATTGATTGGGTAAAGAAACACGACATAATGTCCAAGGAGTTATGAAGTTAGCAATGCCTTAAAATAAATTGTATTAATCACAATACCATTTACATACACTTGAAAATCACAAATGCATATTACCTGTTGTAAATATATACGTTATATGATTCAAATATAATGGCTTGTTCACACTTTAGGCCCAGTGTTTATGAATTTCAAATACCTATTGAAATAGACAATGCCAGGTTTCCATGTGGGTTTGCAGACCCCACCGGGTCCCTTGTTGGTAACCACTGTTCCATGCTTTGGATCTTTTGCTTCACTATTTAAATCTCTTTGACCGGAAGGTATTCATGTCTAAGCCAGGTTTTCACGTTCAGAAAAGAGTCACATGAGATTGAAGACAGTGGAAATTAAAAAAAAAAAAATTAAATGAGTAGGATCTGAAACATGAGGAAAATAGAAGGCAATAGAACAGAGAGTGGCCACAACAAAAAACCAATCCTCACGGCCGGGTTTCTGAAGCAGATGCAGAAGAGACCCCAACTCCTGTAACAAAATAGACAAGATGGCTGGGAGATTGTGAAACAATCACAATTTGCATTAAATCATCAGCTGTTTTCAGCACAGATGGGAAAAGCCTGTTATGAAACGTCGTAAGACATTTGCAGCGGGTTTCAAGCTGGACACACATTAAAAACATTCTTAAGCTTTTCTCATTGGGAATAAAAATGTAAATCACTTTTAGTGATGATTTTTTCTTTACATATCATTATTCTTTGTATTTTATTTTATTTTTGGTAAGGAGACGACATAGTAATAGCCAAGGGGAAATGATCCATTTCTAGAGTTGGATAGATAAAATTTATCTTCAAAGAGGCAGAATATTAATTATGCATAGAAAGAAACTTCTAGCTCTGAAATATTCCCAGTGAAACAAGTGGCTTATTTCACTCAAGACCCTAATCAAACCCAGTTCAGTGTCTCAGAGAGCAAGTGGGGGCCGTTCCTGCGATGCTTCAGAGCAGCGGGCTGAGTGTGGGCAGCTCCCAGGACCAGCCCTGCCTGGGGCGCTCCCTGGGGTTCTGCGAGAAGGGTCATGTCTACCCTTGGTTCCTTGCTCCTTTAAATGAACTGCGGGACTGTGAGGCCGGAGCCAGTAGCTGGTGCTCCAGGCCCCTCTCCTCTGATCCCGTGTCCCTAGAGAAGAGACATAGACAGCCACAGACTCAGTGTCTGGAAGAACTGGCTGGCCTAAGGAAACGAGTTTCCAATAACTAATCCAGCTGAACCAGGCACTTCCCTTGGCTCCGGCTCTCCTTCCCGTAAGCCAGGAAATGTTCTCTCCATTCAGTAGGGGATGGCTCCTCAGGGACTTCTAATCTCTGATTGGTTACTTCATATACTATGCTAGTATCTTTCGGTCCTTTTAGGTGTTCCCTCTGGATTAATTGAAAATCATGGATATCCTGTTTGTGTGATTTGTTCAAGGTAATTGTAAGGCCACGGAGAGGCCAATATTGATTTTTAAGGAAGATGCCACTTTATATGGCCTGAAATGTACGATGTAGAATGTGGAGTCAGTTTAGGAAAGATAATTATCTCATATTCATTCATTCATTCATTCATTCATTCATTCATTTATAGCTCCTGCTATATGCTAAGTGCTGTGCTAGATGCTGAGAATCCACCAGAGAATGTTACAGTCATATTGTAGAGGGGAAAAGCTCTGTAACAGTCACAGGGTGATACTTGGCAGAAAGAAAATAAAGGGGGATTATTGGATAGAAAATGAAAAGGAGCCAGTAGACAAAGATCTCAGTTGAGCGGAGATCTGAGGAGGTGAGGGAATCACGTGGCTACTTGAAGGAAGAGCATGCCCAGAAGGAACTGCCAGTGCAAATACCTGAGGCAGCAGAGTGCCTGGGACGCTCACAGCACAGTACGGGGGCCGGGCTTCGTGTTCTCTCCCAGGACGGTGGCTGAGGGAGACAGGGGCAGGAGGGTTTTTATGATTAATGAGCAGAGCTGGACAAGCAGAAAAGTCGGGACAAGAGTCAGGCGAAGGCACACAACAATGTTTGTCAACGGATTCTGGTCAAGGGGTGGTTGGAGTTGGGGGATTAGAGTCTTCAGTGAGGGCACACTTCGAGCAGAGATTAGGGAGGGAATAGTGATAGGTGTGACCAGGGGGCAGAAGCCAAGATCAACGGAGGTGAGGCAGGCAACAGAGAAACCAGTACGTTAGGAGGATCTTCTTTGTGGGTTTTGAAATCCACAGCAACGGCAAAAATATGGTTGCAAGACAGCGATTCAGGTGCTAAAATCCTCACAGAGTGAAGATTGATAGAAGACCACCACCAAGAGTGAAGTAAAACATATTGTACCGAATTAAGAGCTTCAAAGGCGTGTGGGGGTAGGGGTGGGGTGGGCGGTTAGGGAGAAAGGAGGACTCAGGACCTGGCAGTGTCAATAAGGAGTGACAGAGACACCTATCCCATTTCTAAATCCCAAATATGTGCTGTGTGAGCAAAAACCAGCCACCCCTGGAAAGCCTGGGGGTGTTGATTAGGGCAAGAAGCAGGTGGGGGATGGGCAAAGCCCTTTAGGGACATCAGACCTCATAACAAGTGTCCCCTCGAGGTCTTGGGCTGCTTCTGAGGTCTGAGGTAAAAGGGACACAGAGCAAGATCGAGTTCTGTGGTCTCTGAGGGGTGGTAGAAATTCAGTTCTAATCATTGCCTACTTCTCAGGTGCTGAGAGGCAGGAGTCTTGCAAGGACTATAGGGGCCCCTTGCGTTGGGGCAGAGTGCTGTAACTCCCCAAATCTCCAAACCTGCTTCATGCCACGTGTGCCTGTGTCTTGACGATAGACGTATTTGCACATTTAGTCACTCACTCGTTCAGGGGCTAATGGATACCAGACAAAGTGTGTCACTGTGCATTCACTGGTGAACTAAAGAGATATTGATGTTCTCATAAAAACTGCAGTTCAAAGGCAGAAGCGAACATTAATTAAATAAACACATTAATAAATGTAGTATGTTAAACTGTGACAAAGTCTCTCAAAGTGAAGTTGCTGTAAGCGAGGAGCAGGAGGAGGGCACATAATCAGGCTGAGGACGGTGAAAGTTTGGGAGGAAGGATGTGTAGGGTGAATTCGGGAAACCCAACAGGAATTTGACAATATATCAAGAACTTGGAAACCTCATCCCCTTTGAGGATGAACGGAGGGTGCATTTTCTGGAATGTACCTAAAGAAACAACCCAAAATGTGGACAGAGGTTTATACCCAAAGCTGTTAAAAAAACTAAAACAAAAACAAAAACATTGCTTATAAAAGAAAAATTGGAACCTAAACATGCAAAAATAGGGAACTAGCTAAGTAAATTATGGTATAAAATGTAGCACTGTGTTGTCAGTCATTATCAATGCTGATAAATACATTTCACCAACACAGAAATAAAATGACAATATAAGGTTCAATTAAAAAATTATGGCAGCAATGTCCACCATTGCCAAACTATGGAATGAGCCCAGATGTCCATCAACAAATGAATGGATAAAAAAGATGTGGTATATATATAGGCAATGGAATATTACTCAGCCATAAAAAAAAAAATGAACTCTTGCCATTTGCAATGATGTGGATGGAACTGGAGGGTATGATGCTAAGCGAAATAAGTCAGTCAGAGAAAGACAAATACCATATAATTTCACTCATATGTGGAATTTAAGAAACAAAACAGATGAACATAGGGGAAGGGAAGGAAAAATAAGGTAAAAATAGAGGGAGACAAACCATAAGAGATGCTGAACTCTAGGAAACAATCTGAGGGTTGCTGGAGGGGAAGAGAGTTGGGGGGGTAGGGTAGGTGGGTGATGGAAATTAAGGAGGGCACGTGATGTAATGAGCACTGGGTATTATATGCAACTGATGATTCACTGAATTCTACCCCGAAGTTAATAATACATTATATGTTAACTAAATTGGATTTAAATAAAAAATGTTTTTAAAAAGGGGATATGAGATTGTGCCCCAGCATGCATGCATGTATGCACATGTGTGTGCATATGTGTACGGGTGAAGGAAGGGAACAAGTACCCCTGATATTAACAAGAGTTTGCACTGAGTGTTTGCACTGGGATTGGTATTTACTTCTTTCTGTGTCTCCATTGAAATAAAGACAGTCACTTTATTTAACAGTTTTTCTTAAATTAAAAAATAATTTAAACTTTGTAGTTACCTTTTGTCTTTTCACTCCCTCCTTGACATTGGAGCTGGTCACATGGGATGGCAGTAGTCAGTCATCGAGGGTTTACTGAACACCCAGGGTGCCGGGCCTGCTGGCTGCTGGGGGAAAACATCTAAGGTCAGAACAGGGAGGCTCATCTGGCTTGAGGTGATCCAGGGTGACTCGGGGAGGAGCTGAGTCATGGGTTTGTGCTTTCATGAAAGGGTGGCACTGGGGAGGGAAGAGGAGGGAGGAGCCCTCCTGTGAGGAAAACCACCATGTGCAACTCGAAGAAGTGGGGCTTAACAACCCGTGTGAGTGTGAACAGCTGTGTGGAGACAGATGTGGGCACCTGGGCTGGACTAGGCAGAGGGGAGGGGGAGCGGAGCAAGCTGCATAGGCGCTTAGACACCAGGGGCCCATTGGGGGAGAAATGGCAGGCTCTTGAGCATTCGCTTACTCATGAATTCACCACATTCTTGTTGAGTGTGTCAGGCACTGTTTGAGGAGCTTGGGATATATTAGTGAACAGATCAAATAAAAATCCCTGCCCTCATCTGGCTGACATTTGAGTATGTGTTGGGGGAATTGGGCACTGGGGGGAGGAAGACCATAAGCAACTGACTCAATAAGTAAATGTTACAGTGTAGGAAGAGTGCTGCATAGTCGGGAAAAAGCAAGCAGGCACATTTGTGGAGGGTGGGGGCTGGTTGCAGTACTGAATGGGGGGTCACAGCAAGCCTCATGAGGCCTCACTCACGCAAAGGCTGGAAAACAGGTTCTGAGCCGTGTAAGGACAGATGAAGGCTGGGCTGAAGTTGCTGGTAGTGACGAGTCCTAGAGTGAGTGGCTAAGGTACGCGAATGATAACTGGAAGACTGCTGTGTAAGGGAGAGATGTTGTCACCATGAATACCAACATCACCACAGAGGAAGGCAGGAGCCACACCAGTGAAAGTGGCATTGAGGTGGGATACAATGAGACCCGTGTAGGGTGATTGGGGTGGGGTGGGGTCCAATGGAATGAGATTCAAAGATGAGGAGAGTTTTGAGGAGAGAAGGTAGGTTTGGAGCCATCATGGGGGTAAAGGAAGAGGTCTACTCACACTCCAGGCCCAGGATTGTGAGGTACAGGAGGCCAACTGCTCCCCTTTATGGAGGGAAGCCAGGCCTCGCACACCTGGGGTTCAGAGAGGAGGTTGAGAATGCAGACTTTGCATTCAGTGAATTCCTAAGCACTGGGGCTGGTCTCTGAAATGAAATAGGCAGGAATTGGTGGGGAAAAGAAAAGATGGTGGAGGAGTAGGAGACCCTATTCCAACCAGTCCCTGGAATTGAGTTGGATATCTACCAGACCATTCTGAACACCCATGAAATCAGCCTGAGATGTAAGAAGATAGATCTGGATCTTTACAAACAGAATATCACAGGTGGTTGGTTTCGAGGTATGAAGCGGGGAGCCATGATTCTGTGGGCACATATCCAAAGATAAAGGGAGGGAGGAGGGAGCCATGGGGATCCTGCACCACCGATGAGCGATAGCCTCCCACGCTGGGGATGGGGCACAGACTCGCAGAGTAGTAGCAACTGGGAAAGGACTTTAGGGCAGCCCCCCGGCTTGAAACCTGGAGCTGCAGGGGCTCACATGTGAACTGGGGGCAGCTGGCGATTTTAGAAGCACAAAGGGCAGAGATGTGCCCCCATGCCCTGACCTGGAGGAAAGGACCGGGGCTGAGGGCCACACAGCCCAGGAGCTGCAGTTTTTAGCAGCACAGACAGAAATGGAGACAGCGTGGCCTGGGAAGCTCACTGAAGAACAGACTGCGATCTCTCTGCTCTAAGGCAGAGGGTTGGATATGATCTCTTCTGCTCTGACTCTCGGAAGAGACCCTGAAAGCAGCCAGGGAAAGCCGCCAAAGAACAAAAGTCCCCCCAAACCGGTTTTCACTGAGCCCGTCCCCCGCCACAGGGGGCAGGGCAGCTCTGCCCAAACAGGGTTGCCTGAGTAACAACACAGCAGGCCCCTCCCCCAGAAAACAGGCTGGGAGAAAAAGAGGCCAGCAACTGTAAGGTCCCTATAAAAGAGGTGCATCTTGCTTGGGTTGTGGTCAATAATTTGGACTCTGTACATTCCCTAAGCCACCCCTTAGCAGAACGACTAGGAGGAGGAACCCCCAAAATAGGAAAGACTCAAAGACTGTGACTACTTCTGCCACAGATTTACAAATGGATACAGATATAACCAAGATGTCAGAGATGGAATTCAGGGTAGCAATTGTGAAGACAATAGCTAGAATGGAGAAATCGATTAATGGCAACATAGAGTCTCTAAGGGCAGAAATGAAAGCTGAACTGGCAGAACTTAAAAATGCTATCAGTGAGATCCAATCTAATCCAGATAATCTAACAGCTAGGGTAAGTGAGGCAGAAGAACGAATTAGTGATCTAGAAGACCAATTCATAGACAAGAAGGAAACAGAGGAGGCCAGGGAAAAACAACTCAAAATCCATGAAAATACAATCAGAGAAATAAGTGACACCATGAAACATTTCAATGTCAGAATTATTGGGATCCCTGAGGGGGTGGAGAGAGAGAGAGGACTAGAAGATATATTTGAGCAAATTGTAGCTGAGAACTTCCCTAATTTGAGGAATGAAACAAACATTCATGTCCTAGAGGCAGAAAGGACCCCTCCCAAGATCAAGGAAAACAGGCCAACATCCCAGCATGTAATAGTAAAACTCGCAATTCTCAGAACCAAGGAAATCATCTTAAGGGCAGTTAGGGAGAAGAGATTCCTTACGTACAGAGGGAGGAACATCAGAATAACGTCAGACCTATCCACAGAGACCTGGCAAGCCAGAAAGGGCTGGCAAGACATATTCAGGGTACTAAACGAGAAGAACATGCAGCCAAGAATACTTTATCCAGCAAGGCTGTCATTTAGAATGGATGGAGAGATGCAGAGCTTCCAAGACCAGCAGAAACTGAAAGAATATGTGACCACTAAGCCGGCCCTGCAAGAAATATTAAGGGGGGTTCTATAAAAGGTGAAAGACCCCAAGAGTGATATAGAACAGAAATTTACAGGGACAATCTATAGAAACAAGGACTTCACAGGCAACATGATGACAATAAATTCATATCTTTCAATAATCACTCTCAACATGAACAGCCTAAATGCTCCCATAAAATGTCACAGGGTTGCAGATTGGATAAAAAGGCAGGACCCATCTGTATGCTGTCTACAAGAGATCATTTTGAAACTAAAGATACATCCAGACTGAAAGTGAAGGGATGAAGAGCCAACTTCCATGCCAACAGACCTCAAAAGAAAGCTGGGGTAGCAATTCTTATAACAGACAAATTAGATTTTAAGCTAAAGACTGTAGTTAGAGACACAGAAGGACAATATATCATTCTTAAAGGGTCTAATCCAACAAGAAGATCTAACAATTGTAAATATCTACTTCCCCAACTTGGGAGCAGCCATCTACATAAGCCAACTGTTAAACAAAATAAAGAGTCATACTGATAATAATATGTTAATTGTAGGAGACCTCAATACTTCACTCTTGCAAATAGACAGATCCTCTAAGCAGAAAATCAACAAAGAAACAAGAGCTTTGAATGACACACTGGATCAGATGGACCTCAAGGATATATACAGAACATTCCACCCTAAAACAACAGAATACTCATTCTTCTCGAGCACACACAGAACTTTCTCCAGAATAGACAACATACTGGGTCACAAATCAGGTCTCAACTGATACCAAAAGACTGAGATTATTCCCTGCATCTTCTCAGACCTGCTTTAAAACTGGAACTCAGTCACAAGAAAAAATTTGTAAGAAATTCAAACACTTGGAAGCTAAAGACCACTCTGCTCAAGAATGTTTTGGTCAACCAGGAAATCAAAGAAGTACTTAAACAATTCATGGAAACCAGTGAGAACAAAAATTCAGCAGTCCAAAACCTATGGGATACTGCAAAGGTGGTCCTAAGGGGGAAATACATAGCCATCCAAGCCTCAACCCCCCAAAAATAGGAAAATCCTGAATTCACCAACTAACTTTACATCTTAAAAAACTAGAGAAAAAGCAACAAACAAAGCCTAAGCCATGCACTAGAAGAGAAATAATTGAGAATAGAGATCAACGAATTAGAAACCAGAAACATAGTAGATCAGATCAACAAAACTAGAAGCTGGTTCTTTGAAAGAATTAATAAGATCTATAAACCACTGGCCAGACTTATCCAAAAGAAAAGAGAAAGGACCCAAATTAATAAAATTATGAATGAAAGGGGAGAGATCACGACTAACACTAAGGAAATAGAAACAATTATTAGAAATTATTATCAACAACTATATGCCAATAAATTAAGCAACCTGGAAGAAATGGAGGCCTTCCTGGAAACCTATAAACTGCCAAGACTGAAACAGGATGAAATTGACAACCTGAATAAGCCAATAACCAGTAACGAGATGGAAGCAGTGATCAAAAACCTCCCAAAAAACAAGAGTCCAGGGCCTGATGGATTCCCTGTGGCATTCTACCAAACATTCAAAGAAGAAATAATACCTATTCTCCTGAAGCTGTTTCAAAAAATAGAAACAGAAGGAAAGCTTCCAGACTCATTCTGTGAGGCCAGAATTCCCTTAATCCCCAAGCCAGGCAAAGACCCCATCAAAAAGGAGAATTTCAGACCAGTATCCCTGATGAATATGGATTCCAAAATTCTCACCAAAATCCTAGCTAATAGGATCCACCAATACATTAAAAGGATAATCCTCTACGACCAAGTGGGATTTATCCCCGGGATACAAGGGTGGTTCAACATTCACAAATCAATCATTGTGATAGAACACATTAATAACAGGAGAGAAAAGAACCATATGGTCCTCTCAATTGATGCAGAAAAGGCATTTCACAAAATACAGCATCCTTTCCTGATTAAAACTCTTCAGAGTATAGGGATAGAGGGAACATTCCTCAAGTTCATAAAATCCATCTATGAAAAACCCACAGCAAATATCATCCTCAATGGGGAAAGGATGCGAGCCTTTCCCTTAAGATCAGGAACACATCAAGGATGCCCACTCTCACCACTATAG